GGGCGAGGATTGGTGGGTACGAGCGGGGCGGGGAGCGCAGGTTCCACCTGTTTGCCCGCTAATGGTCGAACATGAGGTCGGGCCGCGACGGAAGGGCCGCTCGGCATCAGAGCGGCGACCATGTATAGAGAGTTCGGATGGTCCCGGGCTGAAGATGTGGCGAGGTGGTATTGGGGTGGTGGGGCTGAGCGGAACGGGGTGGGGTGGGGTGGGTGGGGCGTGGCGGGGAAGGGGCCGCGGCGATTCACCGCCCGGCCCCACCAATGCCGCCGCCGGCGATCTGCAACCTTCGCGCGCCTCAACGAATGAATTGGACGTTATTGGGACCGGGTCGGACGGGTGGGCTGAACGGCGGGGTGAGTGACCAGCTCGGTGACCAGACCAGCCGCTGGGCCGCCGGCGAGCACCGCAGCGGAGGGAAGGACCGCCGGCGGCAGCAGCGATATGTACTCATGTACTCATTATCGGCGGTCACTGGGGACGCTGGACACGACGTCGAGACGACGGGAAGCGACGCGCCCCGCACAGCACGACCGCTACGCGGCTAGCGCCAGAGACCGCGCGGGCGCCCCGCCCCAGTACAACAAATGACACGGGCGCGCTTCGACGTTTCCGTATCTAACAAAACGCGGCCGGCCGAAGTGCGGCCTCGTGATAAGGGCACAACGATTGGAGATAGAGGCGGAGCGGGGCCCCGGCCCGGACCACCTTTAGCCGTCCCGGCCGGCCGCGTCGATAGGCTGTCACCATCTGCACACCGCAGTGTGAAGCACCCCGCCGGCGCACGTCTGGAACGAGGTGACGTGTGACGTGTGTTCATGGCGAAGCCGAGAAGCAAGTGCGACCTCACAGGAAACAGACGCGGATCCACAAGTTGGCCAATGCGCCCCGTTGGTCGGTTGGAGCACGCGCGGATTAAGGTGCGGCAGACACGGAGGGGGGGGGGTGCACTGTCGGTTGCCTACATTCAGGGTTTTTGTGGCGTAAATTGCCTACCTTTCAGGCAGCTCTCTGGACACGACGGGGGGGGGGGGGTCGCCCCCCTTAATCTGCACCTGCGTTAGAGCTATTGAAATAACCAGCATATAGTCGCAGCCACTCTGTACCGCCTGTAAAGGCAATACACTGCAGTGTTGCGGGTTTGCCTACCCGATCCGCTCGTAAGGCGCCATAGCCCCTTAGGTATGCAATCCCGCAACACTGGGGAGTTAGCCTTTTCACTCAGTATAACCCCCTGATGGATTGGAAAAATGCACTCGTTTCTCAACAAACCTTGACCAAAAATTACGATAAGCTGTGTTGGCTTGGCCGCAAAGGAGAGAACCCTCGTCTGCTACACACGTGCTCGAGGCGTGTCTGCTTGGCATGCAACCTGTTGCCCTTGTAGGGCTTCCTGCCTGCCCCAGAGCCACATCGAGGACACGCCCAGCGCTCAGACACACTTAAGCCCTTTGTGCCCTTTGCGGGTTCAGGTTAGAATAGCTGTCAAAGGGACGCACACAAATTATGTCATCCACATGAGTGTGGTACATCTGAACAAGGCCATCCTTTTTAGTTCAGGGGTGAATAATTGGAGATTTAACGCGCCATTGGCAAGTTACCCCACCTGATAAAACATTACGGACACGGAGATACATTTAAGAAAGAATCCTTAGTAACGTGGTATGTGCACAAGTGCCACAGGGTTCAAATTGAAAGCCACGAAAACAGTGCGTACCGAGTGCACCTTTGAATGCGCCCCAGTGTTGCGGGATTGCATATTCGCTAGGGCAGGGGCTATGACAGGGGCCATGTTCACCTCAAGGACCAATAAGGGAGTAGGCAGGCCAGCAACACTACAGCGCATGCAAAGGTACACCCGGTACATAACACCATCGTCGACAGTTCCGTAATTTGTGTACGGCCCCTAACGTACCGGTTCATCGGCGGCATGGTGGATCATTGGGGGGCGGGGGGAGGGGGGGGGCTGCGTGGGGGCGTGGCTCGGCGGGGTGGGCGAGGCCTAACGGCACGGCCACACGACGGAAACATGCGGCTGCATAATTTGCATAGGAAGAATTTTTTTAGCGGGACACGACACCGTGGCCTGCGTCATCATTCATAGAAGAGGGCGAGCAGTGTTTCGTACGGCGCGCTTGCTGTCGCCGCGAGCACCGCCACAAGGCGAGCAACGCCGCGCCCCGCTCACCATTTGGCGACGATGTTAGCGGAAGCCGCGCGGCCAGACCCGCTCAGCTCCATGTGTGTTCTAGGCCCTGGCACACATGGCCCCGCCTGGCCAACGTTTGCAATGAGCTCATGGGTGGGCATCATGGACGGGCCGAGATCGAGGAGCACAGGCCCAGCCGAGGCGTCAATACAAGAGCGGTGTGTGACCACCGGTGGCGTCTATCACTAAAGCTCAACGCACAACCAAACTTTGTGAGCAGATTGTATGGGGGCACATCTTAGTACACGCCTTTTGAGCTTTTCAGGCTCGCTGTGCAACCGAGCAATTTGCCAAATAGTGACTCATCATATTGTTTGTTCTATATTGCTAAGTATGCACTAGATCCACTATGCTTGCACGAGTCGCAGCAGTAGCCCTGCCCTAACAGTGCTGCGGTTTTGCCTACTTGCCCGGACCGCAGCAGGGGCCAGCCAGAGAGCGCCTTTCGGCCGGAGCGAGTAGGCAGACCCGCAGCACTGTGATGTGTGAGGTGCCTACTGTTAGGGGCCGTTCACAAATTACGTCACGCATCTGAGGTGGGGGAGGGGGTCTCTGCCCGCGTGACGGTCCTATCTTGAAAGCATTGGAAGGTTAGGTTAGCCGCGTGACGTAGGGGAGGGGGGGAGTCAAATTCGCCCGAAATTTGCGTGACGTCATTTGTGAACGGCCCCTTACTGATACCTATACAAGGCACACACCTCGAAGCCCAGTCGGCGTCGAGGACTGGGCGCCCGATCAGCAACAGCGCCCGCAGCCCGCCAATGAACAAGATGAACAAATATTCCTCCAGTCGGAGTTATTGGAGAGGGAGTAATTCCGAAAATGGGACACGTGGGTAAGGGGGCTCCCGTAAAGCGAGGCGCGACCCCATCAATACAGACCAACAAGACAGGCCGTGGAGGGGCGGGGCGAGGCCGGCGGGGCAGGGCGGGATCCGGTGCTCCCCGATTACACGAAAAAGAGTTGAAGCTTGGACGAATGTTGAAGGGTCCCATGTGGGGTAGTAGGCGGGCGCCAGTGACGCCGCTCGGCTCCTTGACGCTGCCTGCCATGGTATCTGAGAAAATATTTGGTCTGGAGCCGGCGTGGAGGGGGGGGGGAGGGCAAGAGCGGCAACAAGGGGGCAGGCATGGCCGGCATGACGCAAGCGCGCGAGCGACACGGCCGAGGAGACAAGGGCACTGGGGGGCAGGACTGGGCAGGACGCTAAACCAGCGCTGGGCCGTGTACCGCGTGCTGCGACAGACTAAAGCGGGAAGCTGACCCGCGGCCGCAAATGGGTCACGACCGGAGAGAGTGGAAAAGGGTTGGGGGGGGGCACTCCTCACCCCCGCACCGCAACCGACACGGGGTCGGCGGCGCCGCGCCGGCGGCTCCCTCCGGAAAGGGCCGCTAGCTCCAAAGCTCCACCATGAAGGAACCCCCCGACCCCGACTTGACAACGTCCACGATTCTAGCACTGGCTCGTACTCCGGTACTCTAACCACCAGAAGATGGGACGAGGGGTTATTCGGCGCCCCCCGCTGCCCCTCCCCGCTCGCACGGCGGACAAGCGATACCCACCCAGTCTCAAGGTGGGCCGCGCGTCCTTCCCGCTCCGCACGCCACTCTCTGCCACTCGACTCCCCGCGGCCCGAGGACCCACGCCCCGACCAGCGACTTCAGGCGGCGATAATGCTGGAATGAACTCCTTCCGTGTGCGAATCACACACCCAGGCACGTACGAGGACTTATTTATGAAAGGGGAGGGGGCACTCAGCTCATTGCTAACAGCAGAGTTCGGATTATGCACGAAGAACTGGAAGGATCCGAAGCAGCCATAATACAAACGATTTTTCTTCATATTAAGAACAAATTGTTTTGTATTACAAATGCTTCAAATCCTTTCTACGTTACGAGGGGTAGTTGTTTGTATGTAAGAAACGTACAGTGGGAGAAGGGGGGGGGGGCTATGCCGCACGTTTCTGTTACTTAATGGCACATTACAATAAATTGCCTACCAACCAGGCGCATTATAAACAATTTGAGCCCCACGTGACCACACGTATAGCCACAATAAGCTGTGACTGCCCCCCCCCCCATCCTCAACGTGTGATTTGTGGGGTGTTCACGTCCCCTCATTCCCTGTAGACTCACGCGCCTGCCACACACAGACACACGAGCACGCAGCTCTCGCCTCGCCCCAGAACCAGGAGCAAGCGCTCAGCCACGGATAAGTGGTTTAAAATAATGAACAACAACTGTGTCGGGGTCACCTTGCAAACGGAAAAGCACAACGTAAAGAAAAACCTAAAATGTTTCTTCGAACATAAAGTAAATTAAAGCAACGACGCTAACAGGTGACAAGCTTTGCCAGGACAAGGTATGTATACATACTGTACTTCAGTTCTACATTTTCTGGTCCATGACCGAATGCTGTAGCTACAGGGCTGCATCCTGACGACAATCACCACCCGGAGACAGCAAACGTTTCCGCCGAGCGAGCTTGATACCCCCCCTTCACCCTTTTACAACCACACACCTCCGCAGCCACCAGTGGTATCAGCTCGGAGATCTCCTGGCACTGCATGTGCATGGCGCCGCATGGCGCACTCGGGGGCTTGGGCGCAGCGCAACCCCGTTGGCGGAGGCCCTGGCCCAGGCTGGCCGCGGGGGTGGCTCCGGGGCGCCCACGAGTGCAGTCAGCAGGCGGCGCCTCCCGCAGTGACCCAGATCATGGACCAGCCGCCCGCCCAGCCCCGCCTCACCTCACCCCGCCCCGACCCGTGGACAGCCACCTCTCTCTGCTCACCTTCCGCTGCGCCTCCGCGGCAAATCCAGATTTGGTTGCCCTGTTGTTGGCCATGTCGTTTCCGCTCATGAAACAGCTGACGGATGGAATGACAGACGGGTTACACTGCACTTCGGCACTATCGGTGCGCGTCGGAGTCTGAAACGGGGCGCTGCGACGGCGAGGGGCCAACTGACAGCTCCGCGCCGCTCCGCTCGGCTCGAGCCTCGAGCTCGCCGTGCCCCCGCCTCTCCCTCCCCCGCCGCCCGGAGGACGGGAGGGGGAGGTCACGTGACGCTGTCCGATTGGTCGACGGTGACGTCACGCGGGCCGGCGGGAGAGGCGCCCGTTTTGAACACCCTCAGCGCTGCGCCGCCCCGTCCGGGGACAGCTCGCCGTGAGTTGTCCGTGAGGGGGGAGCAAATCGGTACAAGGCGTCCCGCTCGCCGTGCTGATGGAATACAACTATAACCCGATAAA